TAAAAATCGTACAAAGATTTCTATTTATCTAACACTTAATTATTCATTTCTTTTTTCTTAAATAATGTTAAAAAATATATTTACAGGTATAGACAGTCCCTGAAGATTCAGGAACCTACACAAACAGAATCATCGAACATCTTAGTATCGTATCAGAGAAATTCTATTCCAAGTAGATTGGAATCACATGCGACTCCCGTAGAAACGCCTACCAGTACTTCGAAAACGAATAGAACTGCGGTGGATACCGTTGCTTCAGATATCTTACACGTATATTGCACGGAGGATACGCCCGCGGATATCTCTCCGGTAGGATCGCAATCCAATCTATCTGCTCTTTCAATGTCAAGTGTACAAGAGGATGTGGAGAAGATAGAGCCAGACAGCCAATCAGTCGAAATCGATTGCCACAGAGGTGATTTATTCGATGAAAGTTCCAATCTTTCAGGCGAGGATGAAAAAATATTAGATGAATGTATTCAATCGGGCATACCTAAGGTATTAATTTTTTTAATTGGATCTTTTTTTTTTTATAAAGGAATACTCAGAAATCCATCGATTTCGATGAAACTTGACAGGCGCATTATACTCGATATTATTTGATTATAATAGCTATGGATTTCTTAATATTTCGACTTGAACCTTTATTACATATATATTTTTATAAAGAAAGAAAGCATGTAACTCTAAAACCAAACTACATTATATCATTTAAAGTAGTTTATTTATATTATTATTATTTATAGGCGAGGCAAATAACTCTACCTCCAACAAATAGCATTCCGTTCGCCAAAAAATCGGAAATGTTGCATATAATTAACATATGCGGTACACCATCGTCTTCGCCTGTCGAAGCAAATCATGGAAATAAGAATCCCATATTGAGGCCTAAATCGCCAGGCAGTGGGTTATTGAGGTATCCGGATGAATTTTCTGACGACAGTCTGAATCATTCAGATGATGAAGCAATTTTGACAGAATGCATACAGTCTGCAATGCCAAAGGTTATTAGTCGGTTCTTTATAATTGAAAAGAGAGATATCAAGTCATTTCGCCGTCTGCCACTTGTTTGTAAGACACTTGTACATCGCCACTTTGCCATCCGACATTTCATCGTTCGACGTTTCATTCTCTGCGACATCAACAAAAACATTACGAGGCAAGCAAATATACTGAACGATGAAATGTCGGACGATAAAATATCGCGGAAGATGAAATATCGGACGATGAAATGTCGGATGGTAAAATGTCGACGGTGAAATGTCCATAAACCAAAAGAGAATTCCATTCATACAAAATATCACATACCAATCAATTATGAATCATATTTTCTTATCAGACAGTTTGTTTTAGGCAAGATTTAGCATATCACCGTCAATGAAACAGCCGTTATCACAAGTTATCACAGAAAATCCTAAAGTAATGAATACAATGCAGTCGCCCTCCACTTCCTCAGCATTTCTTCAGTCAAGATATATACAGCAAAGAAAGAATGTGACGAAAAAACGCTTGCCTTTCGAAGACAATGTTGGACTTTCTGAAGAAGAGGAAGATATCATGTTGGCGCAATGTATTAGATCTGGGATGCCAAAAGTAAGTTGTTTATGTGTATAGTATGTTGCAAACACTAAAGTGGATATTGAAAACTATACTAATTGTAAGAAAAATGCTTTTCTGTTTCAAACTTGGAATATATTCTACAGTATATTTTATATTATTTCTAGAATAGACAATATCTTTCTAGTATATTTTCAACAGATATATGATTTTTAGGCACTAAGTTCCATATCTACGACAGTGACGTCTACAATCAAAAAATCCGAGCCATGCCCGAAAACTACGAAGATTTCTTGGGCCCATCCATCTTCCTGTTTTACGAACAAGGCTTATTCCTCCAAGAGCGCTGCGCTACACTCACCATTGTACAAATCTGTGAATGTCAACACGACGGACACACATTACAACAGAAATGTATCAAGTAATCTTAATGGTTTCTCGGGGAGAACGACGAGCAGTAATATAGCACAGTCTGGTCAGATATCGAGAAACTGTGATAACGGTACACGGGAGAGGACAAACAGTTCGCCCTACTGTGCTCAAAGATCGTCGTTTCGTCACGCGGAAAGTGAAAACGGCAATTCCGTTGACAATCATTGTGTACCTGCGCGATCTCGTGTTATAAAGTGCGCGCCGGTTTGCAATAAGGTAGAAAACAATGATTACGCGTGTAAAAGCACAGCGAACATTGTGCCTTTGCGTCACAGTTCGGTGAATTCTATCAGTGAGCCGGATGCGCGGATTTCCACGCAGGAATGGGCCCTACTGGAATTGTGTATCAATTCTGGTATGCCTACAAACAAGTATCGCGTTAAGGGAATGAAGCTTAGTGAGAGTGCAATATCCAATGGACACGATGATAGTGAGCCAATACCAGAGGACAATTATTCAGTGTGCAGTTACAATTCCTATGTTTTTAAAACATAACGCGTGCGTGCAAATACATGATAAAATTACAGAATTTCTCTCTGAACCTCTCTGCCTAATGATATGTGTATATATACTGTATAATTAAAAAAGACTGAATATTTTTATATGTTAATTAATAAAGTACACACATTTATTGTGTGTTTAAGGTGCTTAATAGAACTGAAAATTCCACTGTGGACTAATTTTAAATTAATAAGCACAGAAATGATCATTGTATGTGTTTAGGATATATTTTATATATTACATAAAAACAAATTTTCAAAATTTGTTATCTTTAAGTATCATTATATTATTTTTATTATAGGTTTATCATCTTACATATTGGCCGAGTTTATAATTTAAATGCTAAATAATATTCATATACGCTTTATTATATAAATTCTAAATGTATGATATTACTGGTAAATTGCTTTGTTGTGTGGGTGCAGGCGGAATTATATGCAGCGTTATACGCACTGGAAATGTCAACTCGTCTACTTTCAGATTCACGATCCAATACGAACTTAATCATATGTTGCATTCTTTATTGTATGATTTCTCTGCCAAAGCAGAAGCATTTATTCTGAAATGTATTTTGTAATAGATATATTTTACTATGCTTTTAAATATCTCAAAAAGACAATATTTCAGGTTGTCTCATTTCTCTCTTCTGAATTTCTTATGTATATCCACACTAATTAAGAGACATGCATGCTTTGCACCAAGTCACGCGCAGTTAACAATGAGATGAACCGTGTAGTCGCTTAGTTGAGAGTTGAGAGTTAGATTATCAAAAATTTCGGTGACGGAGCTGGACCGATGCAATTCTTAATCTAGTTTGTTTTACATAATAAAAGTTTATTCATTTTTACTCTACATATTTTATGTATTGAGGCAATATATTTCCTTGTAAAATTTTTTTAATAGATGCGTGGACTTGACGCTTTTTTTATATTTTTTGAAAAAATGGAGGACCAGCTTACTCCGAAATTTATATACACAAATTTAATCTTATACAATTATAATTTTTTTCATTTAGACATTGCGATGAGCTTTTTAAATTATTATTTAATTATTTTTCGCAGAACTTGTGCTCTAAAGTTTTTGGAAAAGTTTTCTCTAATAGTATTTATGTTAATCGTTGATATGAAGACGATAAATTGGATAGTTGCCGGAAATCGGGCGAATTCCATCGTCGGAAAGAAAATCGCAGTGTCCGGATTATGTGTCATATTAGGTAGGCAGTATGTGTGCTAGCACACTTCTTGCCAGCGATTGCGAAGAGAGGTCAGTCGAGCGTAAAGTCCGGCCGCCTTTTGACCGCTACCTTGATGCCCTTCGATGACTCGTAATGACCACTTGCACGGCACCTTAATCTATTTTCTGCACGTATAAATGTACGCGACGTACCGCCCGCACGACCGTATTCCGCAGTGCACCGCGACGTGTCCGTTGACGAAGAGATCTCCGGAGGAGTGCCGATCTTTCCAGGTAAAGATCTATACGAGTGTTTATGTGAATTTAAAGAGTATGTGTCACAGATTAACGAGTGATATTTTTACAATCCTACGCTTTCGCTCTTATTTAACTTAAATATATAAAAATTAAAGTTATCATATAATTTTGTCAAAATGAAAAAAAATATATATAATAGTAATAAAAAGTAATTCTAAAAATTAATAAAAAATAGAGCAATAAAAAATTAATATAATACACATTTAATAAATAGGATTAATGTAATATTCATTTAATAATAATAAATAAAATTAATTAATAATATAAAGTACAGAATTAAAT